GAGACAAAACAGTCTCATTCTCTTTCCATTTCGATACATCTAACATAAATTTCAATTGCTTATGATTTAATAAATAAATCTTAATCAATATATATATTCCAAACTTTTGTATTTGTTTTAACTTTTAGAATTGATTTTCCAAATATATTTAATATATTCTATATTAATATCTTATATTCAAATTATAATTATAATTCACACTTACAAGTGATATATATATAATACATTGCGTTAAATAAGAAATTTTAAATAAATATAAAATTGGTTGTAGTTACAAATTTTTGAGATGATATGATGCACATTAATTAAATTTTTCAAATCTTTGAAAAGATATAATATACGTTTCGATGATTAAAGGATCACTGGCTGGCTAGTCAGTTAGTGTCCACCAGCTGTCCGCACATTCGCGAAACCAGTTTTAGCTGGCATAATAATCCGAAAAGCCGACAGAAACGATAAAAAGTTCCTTTATTTTATCCTACAGTTTGTAGATGTACACACAATGATTCTTTCTCATAGAACATTTTTATTTCGAAATCAAATAATTCGTTAGTTCTTCAATCATAATAAAAATTTGTATACAAAATAAAAATAGAAGATTTCTTAAATTTTTTTTTCAATTATTGATAACTTTGTATAGATTGTTAAAAAATTTATTAATTAACAATTAATTAAAGTATAACATTCATTGTTTAATTAAATTATATTATAACATGCATGGTTTTTTTTCTTTAAATCATTTGAAAAATATAAAATACTAGTATATTCAAATATAAATGATGTTGTCATTAATTATCGTAAATATGAAGAATATATATATATATATATATATATGAAAAACTGATATTTATATTATAATTTGAGACATTGTAGTAGTAATTTGTTATCTGATGCTATTTTTTATTACATAGTCAATACATAATTATATATAATTATATTTTTATTATAGTCAATATTTTTTATTATATAATCGAATGACAAATTTGAAATCTATCACTATTATTATGATCACTTTTAATTGTTCTTAATTAGTGATTGAAATTTGAAGAATTTTATAAATTTTTTAAAATTATCATATAATTTTATCTATAAATCACTAGATATTTGTTCTTATTAATTTTAAATAAAATTTTATTTAAAATAAATTTATAATGTGATCTTTATAACTTAGTTTTTTTTATTCTAACATATGATTAATAAAAATCAATTTTATTTTGTAATTACAATTTTTTTTATTTTTATTTTAAACATAATATATATCCGATAACTTATAGACAAAAGTTTTTGTATTATGAAAATATATACTATAATGCATGGAATATACTGATAATAATTTAATTTATATTAATTAAATAATTAATTATTTTTAATTAATTATTATTGTATTATTAATTATATTATGGAAGATTACTACTTACAAGAAACATTATTCAATTTATGATAAAATTAGATTTTTTTTTAATTAAAAATGATATTAAAAAATATGATTTGGCTGAGAAATTAAAGGAGAAAAGAAAAAAAAAAAAAGAAAAATGAGGGAAATGTGTATTCAAAATTAATTTCATATTTTTATTGTAATGCTAGACAAAATGATAGCCAAATAATTTGATATTTTTAAATCATATTAATAATTAAATTTATAAGAAAATATATACTTTATACATCTACACATAATTACTCATAAAAATATTCGGATATTAACGTATACTTAATCTTAAAGATTTATATCTTTGTTAATTATGGAATTCTTAAATTTTTGATCCTTGTGATTCTTATTGAATGAATTTTTTTGATAGAATATTTATTGTACTTTACAAAATTTATTTATTAATTTGATATAATAAAATAATGTTAAAAACTAAATGAAATCACAATAATTTTTTGTGTCAAAAATAAAAAATTCGGATATTTTAAAATATATAATAAAATAACTAAAATAGCAATTTTTTTATAAAAATTAGAGATTGGTTTTAATATCCATTTAATTTTACATTTTAATTTTACAATTTTACATACAATAATTCATTTTAAATCTAAAATATTAAAAATTTTTTATTAATAATATATTTGATATCTTATTCATTTTCTACGAATTTTTCTTTAATATATATTATTATATGTATTGTTTTTTATGTATTTTTATTTATTATTATTTATTTATTTATTTATATTTAATTATTTATATTCATGTAACTATATAATATTAATTTAATTTGATAAATTTAAATTTTCAATATGTCTGAATATTCTTGCAAAAATAACAATGCGTTTCTCTTCGATTTTTCCAATAATAGAAAATTGAATAGAAAAATTCATTTGAGCTTAAGTAAAAAAAAAGATTAAAGAAAAATAAAATCATTTAAATCTTATTATTATGATTTAAAATTTTAGAAATCATCAAATGTTATATATAATCTCCTAATATTATATAATCTCTCAAAAAACTATAAGAAAAAAAAATAAATTTGATTTGTTTATAATAAAAGCTCTTATCGATAGAGATTATTAAATGTGAAAATAAAAAATAATAAAAAATATAAAATAAAATTTTATTATTTAAATCTTTGTTTTGAAAAATTAAACATATACAAAAAATTGTATAATTAATAATTATTAAAATTTGCATTTTCGAAAATTAATTTTTGAACGAAATAAAATTCTGTATTTTTGCTTATTTTTGTCAAATAAATTCTTATTGATAACTCATTCAATATCAATATTCAATTGAGAATTAACCAATTTCATTTGTAATTAAAAAATTTTCAAATTCGATTCTTTCAAAAACAAAATCTATGACGAAGAAATTTTATTCCTTTTTTTTTTTTATTTTTTCATAAGAAATTATTCTATATCAGTTATATGTTATCAAGCTGAACCCGGTAAAATAAGGTGAATATATATATATATTTTTTTTAATTATATAAAATATTTAAATATATCAACTTCTATCTTTTTATTTGGTACTATATAAAATAAATTATAATAAATAAATGATAATAAATCAATGATAATATTAATAAAATCAGAACAATGTATAATTATCTATTATAATGTAATGTAATGATATTTATAATAATTATGATAATAATTATATAAAAAAATTAATTATAATATTTATAATAATTTTCAGAAAATTTAAAAAAATTAAATATTAAAGCAATAATAATTTTCAAAATTGCAATGAGCGAATACTGCTTCTTTTATATCTTTACTAGTGAGATAGTCATAACTTAGCATTTTGAAACAAAATACGGTTTATGTTTCAAAGATAACATTGTCCCTTTCTACAATATAGTTTTTCTAATTTTTTTTCAAATTATTATTTATAATTAAGTTATTATCATTTATTTATTATAAGTTATTTTTATATAATAAAGATTTTAAAAACCATTTTATTATTCTTTTTCTCTTACTTTTTTCTATTTTTTTCTTCCCTTTTTATTATCTTTATTGATTATTTTTCTTAAAATTATTTTTGATAGTAATTTATATTTTCATGATTTTTGTAATATATATTTTCGATTTATATAAAAAAATTTGTACAACTTTATAATCAATTGAATAGTGTTCTTTGATATTTATTTATAGTGTTCATAGATATTTATTCGATTCAAAGTAAGCTATACATATATAAATTATATATTCTAATTAAATATTTCTAATAAGATTTTGTAAACAAAATTCTTATGTTAAAAGAAACATTGTAATAACATTAAACATAATCAACTATAAACAACATATAATAAACAAACATAATAAATAACATTCAACATAATCAATAATTATTTTTTTCTTGTTCTTTTTTTTAAATTGAACTATTCATAATTTGCGATATTATTAAATTTTATCACCTATACATTTTATCACCTATACAAATTTCAATGAAAATGCATTATTGAACATCGTTAATATCATCAATAGGACAACTATTCACAATAGTTCGCAAGATATTTTATATCTTGCGAACAGGAAACTTTTAATAATTGTAATTAATAAGCTTTCAGGCACATCTGCTAATATAAACTTTTGCAGATTATTTTCAAACGAAAAGTAAAAGCACTGTGATATAATATATTTTGTTTTTTAAGTGAATCAAATATTTTTGTTTTTTTACAGAATTTAAAAATCATGCAGTTTATATGAGTACTTATATATACTTATATACTTATATATAACAATTTAGTGACATTCATAACATTATAGTATCAATGATTAAAAAACAAGATATATAATTAGTCATATATACGAAATTATGTAAATTCAGCAGAAAATATTTTTAAATAATTTTCTTCTAAAATAAAAAAATAGTACTCTCTCCCCCTCTTTCTGTAAAAAATATATCTCTATCAGTTTCAGAGAAAATATATGAATCTATATGAATATCTATCTATATATGAATCTATCAAACAGATTTAGATTTCAAATACATATGTGTAATTAAATCAATTATATTAATAGTAATTTTTTGTTTCGAAGTAATAATTTTTTGTAATAAAATTTATATATTTATCAAGAATTTTTAGATTAATTATAAAATTGTAAAAAAGTAGATAAAAAAAAAAGCTTTCTTATGTATATACAAAAATATTTTATGAAACATATTGTAAATAAATTTTTTGATTTAATATATTTAATGAAATGCTAATTAATAAATTATTATGCCAGAAAAACTCTAAATTAAATGTTTCGTACATATTTGCAGACAAAATATTCAATAAAAATTGATTATTATAAAGATTATTAATTCGAAATCACATATAAGTCTACATGGTAGTTACATCTACATCTACATAGTACTATTTAACATTTTTATATTTCATCAAAAAATTAAACTATTTCATTAAATAATTTTTATATTTTAATAAATTCTTATTTATTATAAATGATTACACAAAGTAAGCATATGTATATATGTATATCACGATCATTGATCAGAAAAAAAACAATAAATAAAAATAAATCATATAATGTATTATCGATCAATTTTAATATAAACTTACTAGTATTTATTATATACATATATCATTATCTCAGATAATTGATAAACAATTTTCACAGATAAACAAAAAAAAACTATCAAACTTTAAACTAACACTATAGAGAACGGTGTAAATGGCACTTGCAATGGTTGCGGCGAATCACAGCATACTAACTAACAAGTTGTATGAGTGAATGAAGAATAGCAAATAATATATGGGAGAGAGTAAGCAGAGAGGCGACAGAGATAACTTTCATACCTGTTTATCGGGATTCCCTGACATATGACGTTCCTTTTCGATCTGGGGATTCCAGAATGCAGATTTAATCATTGATTCCCCTAATCATACATACAAATATGCTGCATTCATAAATAATCTAATACGTGTAGCATCTATTTAATGATTATAATGATTATTATAATGATTATCAAATGGAAAGAAAGAAAAATTTTTTTATCTTCATAATAATCTAATTAATTAAATTTAATTAATTTAAATTAATTATTTAAAATAATAAATAATAAAACTTTAAACGTGTTTAATTTAACAAATTTTTTGAAAAAAAAATTTATATATAAGAAGTAAGTATATTTCAAAATAATAATAAGAATAAAGTAAAAATAAAGTAATAAATTTGGAATTACAAAAGATTTTTTTACAATGTCTTTACAAAATTATTTATAATAGGAATTTCCTTGACAATTCAGATTAAGAAAATTGTGCATGACGATACTACTTTGCTAATAGTTAACTCAGATTATTTTTTTTTCACATACATAATGCGTGATCTGCAATTCTGTTAGAATAAACATGAATCACTAACACGTAGAAAATATCATATATATTTTGTGATATCATATATATTTTGTACTATGAGAAAGAAAAGAACTTCATTAATTTTATTTTTTATTTTATAAATGTTAATATATTTTATTGACTTTTATATATATTTTATAATAATAATAATAATGATTATATACTTTGATGATATTTACATTTATTTATATATATAGATAATATTATTAAAATTTTTATAAATTTATGATATATGATAAAGTTCAAAGTTTTTAATTTACCATTTCAAATTTTCAAATTTTCTAAATATAATTATTGTTAATGTATTTATAAAAAAATACAATTGAACAAAAAATGATTTTATGTGAAAAAAATAATACACATAATATATAAAATATATAAAATATATAAATAAAATAAAATATATAAAATAAAATTTATTTATTTGAGATTTTATTTTTGATTAAAACAGTTTGAAAAATACAATTAAAATTGGCTATTTGCCAATTAGAATTAATGAATTAGAATTATTGTAGAATATAATTCTACGTATAAAATTAGCAAAAAAAAAAAATAGAATAAATTATTTTTCATATAAAAATTAGTTTTTCAAAAAATTAAATTTAGAAATTCGCTAATCATATGATTTGAAAACGATTTTTTATAGATACAAAAAATTTAAACAATTTTTTAAAAAATTTAAAAATTTAAAAATTTTATTTTTAAATTTTATTTTTTGTTTATTTTCATTTGTTGTCCACTCGTATCTAATTATAAAATAACCAATTTTAATTATATTTGAAAATTTTTCGATTTTTTATTTTATTCGAAAATAAAGTTTTAAATGAAAAAAATTTATTTTATATTTTCAATTTAGGAAACCCTAATACATACAAATTAAATATTAATCATTAAAAATAGAAAATAGATATGTGAATATTGTATACAAAAAATTTAATTAAATTCTTAAAAGTTTTTTTTATAACTTAAATATTTAAAATTATTATTTACAAACTCTTAATAATTATAAACTCTTATTTATGAACCTTTAATAAATTCTAAATTCATTAATCTTTTTAATTTTTCAGCAAATATATTATGTTATTTTTATGTTAATTTTTTTTTAATTCTTATATTAGAGATAAAATTTAATAATAATAATTTGAAAAATACAAAAGAGTATGTGGCACTTCTTTGTTCATAGAAAAAAATTTCCACTTGAAACTAGCTAATCATAATAATAAGAGATTAAAGAGAATTACCAATGTATCATTCACAATTACAAAATCATTTGAAGATTATCGGTAATGAATTCATTTATTTGAATTATTTCTTGCCCACACAATCAATTATTAATTTGTAGTCAGTATTGAAAAGCATATGATTTTAACGTCGTCACTTGTGCACTTTGCACAAATACTTAAGAATTTTCTTTCTAGAGGTCACTGCACAAGGAAGTGAACGGAAACTTGGTCTTCCAATGGAACTTGATAGAAACTGTATTTGAAAAGAGGACAGAGAAAGCGGATGGCTGTAATATTACTTGATTGTATTATGAATTGTATCGATTTAATTTCTTATTATTCAGATTTATAATAATTTTAAAATATCATAAATTTATTATAAACTTTTCATTCTGAATTTAAATCATATTTCTTGGTTTTCTTTATTTTAAAATATATTTTAAAATATTTGAATAAATTTTTTACTAGATTTGAAATGATAGATTTCTATTAATAATTATCAGATAAAAAAATATGTATTCATTAAAATAATAATTTTTATTATGCAATTTGATGGCAAAATATTTTATGTTTTTGCATCTTAGTTAACTTGACCATCTTTAACTATTAAATGGTATATTTTATGAAAATTATAAAACATAGAATTTAAATAGCTTCGAACAATATATATATAATACAATATACAATACAATATATATATACAATCATAAAGTACATATTTTTTGTGGATAAAAATTTTGATGATTTCAAGATCACTTTGATTTTCTTATTTCATGAAATGATCTATTTTTTCTATTAAATTAATATGAAATTTTGAAAAATATGTAGATTTATACTTATAATATATTATATAAAAATTAATTTAAAATTAACTCAATATAAATTAAGTTAAAATTAATTTCTAAATTTAATAGTTAATGAGATATTAATGACATAATTTTTAACATGTAATTATTATTTAGAAATTAAAGTGGATGATTAAATTAATCCCTTAAGTTCAATATAATATAATTATATGTTTTGTTAAAATTATTATGATTTTGTCAAAAACTTTTGCAACAAATATATTTTTTCTATAAAATGTCTTATTTATGGATAAGACGATATAAATATCTGGTAAGATATATTCGATAATAAGATAATTGGATTATATTTCATTGATGACATTTAAACAAAAATACTTAATATATAATTATTCCTTTTTTAGAATATTATCAAATTTATAAGATATATTATACATATTCATTTATCAATATGATTTCATTTTACATATTAAATTATGTATATACATATTATGTAAAAGAAATATTGCAGAAACAATTTTTCAATCGATGGATCGATCAATTTCAATCAGAGAATTTTCATGATTATTATATTTACTACTATTCTTTAGATTTTTTCGTGTAGACAATTAAAAATAAAGTATTGTATTTTAATTCATGACACAAACAAATATCAAATAAAAAATTTAAAAAATTAAATTTAAGAATTTGAATACTTAATTGATTTGTAAGAATTGAATACTTATTACACAAATAATTAAAAATAATGTTTTTTCATTAAAAAATTTCAATAAATAAGATTATATATATATCGTTATGTTGAAATTGTTATGTTGAAGAACATCAATTCAAACACTTATTTTGATTTCCAAATAGTAAATTTTTATTAACAATTATTATATTAATATCTTGTTAATTATTAGTTAATTAATATATTTTATTTCAGAATTTGATACTCCATTAACTCCATTAACAATACAAAGTAAATTATTCTATTTAAAAAAATCAAAGATCTTAAAATCTTTGAAACATCTCTATTTAAAAAAACCATGTATCTTATGAGATATGCTCTTCGAAATCATTTAAATTCTATGTTTTATAATTTTTATAAAATATATAATTTTTATAAAGTATATTTTTTAGTAATTATTCGAGATAATCAAATTAGTTGAAATAAGTTACTCTATCTAATAAAATCTTGATTAATTAATTATTATCAAAAAAATCGATAATGAAGAAGATTTTATAATTGAAATTATGATTGCATTTCATGTGAAATATGATGAATTTAGGACATATTATTATGTCCTATATATAATTTTTTCTTAGTTTACTAATTTGATTAATAATTATTTTTGTTTAAAGTTATTTCCGCAGTATTATTTTCTTTTTATATTTCATTTCTTATTCTTATTTTCATTATTATAAATATTTTTGAAACAACAATACATGTATAAAAATAATACATTATATTTATTCAATACATATATTTATTCAACTCATATTTTCGCTACTCTTAAATTTATTTTTTTAAAAATTAATTTAATTATCGTTAATATGTAACATCCTATTTAATTAATTTATATTTAAAGAACATAAAACAACAAAATTTATATAAATATATAAAATTTAAATTTAGATAGGAAAACATATGAAAATTTATAAATTAATGAGCTATGAATATAATTGAATAATAATGTTATAAGTTTTCATAATAATAAGTAACCAGCCTCAAACATTTATTTTTATTGAAATGAATTGTTTTTTATAATTTTAAATTATTTATATATATAAAAAAATATTGCAATAAGTAATTTATAAACAAACTTTAAAAAATTCAGTTAATATTTATACTAGTATAATTATATAATATGTGAAAATAAAAAAATGTGTTCCAAAAAAGTTATTTACAAACTCAATTTTTTTGATAATCATGAATTAATTTTTTAATAATATATAATGTATGTTAAAAATTTTTATTTATATATATAAATTATAATAAATTTAATTTTATTTTATCTAGTTCATTTTTATAATTTTCAATTTTACAATTTGAGCTATATTGGATAGATAAAATTATATCTTAAAAGTATTTATTTTAAAAATAATATGTTTTAGTGAATATTAAAAATTAAAAATATACAATATTTATAATATTTATATAATTTATAATTATATTTATATAATTTATTTATATATGTTCAAGTTTAATGCTTTAATATTATTTAAATATAATATAAAATATGCATAAAAATGTAATATAGAAATTTTAACAAAAAATAAATTATATGGACTTTTGAAATTTAACGACTGTATGATAACGTAATGCTAAAAAATAT